AATTCGTGAAGAATTGAAGCTGTCAATGCCTTTTTTGGCTGAACGGACCACGGGCCCTGTGAGGCAAAAGTTGGAACATGTGCACCTCTCCTGATTCCCATGGTTTTGTGATGTTTATCGTTACGTCCATGTCTTTTGATGACATCCCATTACATGCATTTGTATTATCTTATTATTGCTTCACTTCATCTACGTCCGAGCCTCGATGTTGCCGTGGACCCCATGGTCGTCTACACCGACGCCGCAGCCTATACTCAACCTGCTGGACAACACCAACCACCCAGCTTTGGTCCGGGATCGGGATTCTATGAACACTCGAGCCACCCACCGCAGCCACTCCAGATGTCCACGATGGGATACAATGTACACTCCACTCCATGTCCGTCACAGTACTCCAATGTGTCCAATCCGATGACTCACTACCAACAGACCACCCACTACCGTTACCCGGCGCTACCAGACCAACCTACACCGATTGTTCATCACCAACCACAAGTACACCCTCCACTTCCGCCACACTCGAATATTTGGGCTCCACTTCCTCAAGGTCACCATGTACATCCACCTCGACCAGTTGAACTACCTTCACAATATCAAGTAGCACCTTCGGCTCTTCCACCTCCAGCTGCACCACTACCACCACTTCAACATTCTGAACGTGACCCTCCTACACCGATTGTACCTGAACCAGCCACTCCAATTACACCACCACCTGACAACATTCCACCAACTCCGAAGAGGAAGGCCACACACACACGCTTCGGTTCCAGCTTGAGACGTTTTGTCACTACTTCAGTTAGTGCTTCCTTGAAGTCATTGCGGGCTGAACTCCAACAACAACGATCTGTACCAGTACCACAACAACCACCACCTCCTTTATCGATGACTCCACCACCAACGCCAACCCCTCTCCAGACGACCTCACCTCAAGATCAACGTCCTCCACTTCAACGGACACCACGACCTTCACGCTCCAAAGATGCTGCACAATCTCCTGCCAGAACTACCAGATCACACCGCCGCCGCCCAACACCCAGATCACGATCACAACACCGCTCTTCAAGACCTAAAGTCCATCAACCTCGTTCCAGTCACCGACGACATTCCAGTCCTCATCCACGACCATCTACACCCACACGATCGACGCGAACACATCAACATGCTGATCGCCAACGTGACAGGCCTGACAAGTCTCGCCGCACACCCATTCCCGAACGACGACGTTCTCCTCGCCGAGCTCCCAGACATCCTACGAAATCTCGAAGCCCAGCCAAGCCACGTAGCTTACTTCAACTTCGGAGCCATTCGAGAAAGCGTCCGAGCACACCTATCACTTTGAAACCGAATCCTCACTCCAGTCAACCTTATTCTGGCCAAGGACAAGTTCAAGACGCAGGTCAACCACCTCCACCTCCACCACCTCTACTCCCACTACCCCCACCGCCACCCGAAGTCGAAGCACCGATCATGTCCTATTCCATTCGATCACCCACTGGTGAGACTGATGACTCCGATGCCGATGCTGCCAACCCCAAGTCCAAGGCTATGCCAACGTTTGGACAGTCTACAAAATGGCTGGATGAATGGAAGGAAGCAGCTGCTGATCCTGATCGCACACTGCTCCCTAGCGAAGTCGAACACCCACCCAAGATCCCCTCCACCATCACCCGTGCCACAGACAAACTTCTCAAGCAGTTTATTGACGAGATGTTTCGAGCTCTTCAAAAACCCTACACTACATCGAACAAGTCCTCCATCTTCATCAAAGCCGACAAGACTATCGTTCAGAACATTGGTGTTGCCTTCGCCCAAGCAGACCTCCTGGACTTGACCCTTGCACGAGGTACACGTGGGTACTACATTGAACGCGATCAAACCCTTACCATCACTACCCCTACAGGCTTCCCACGGAAACCTCCTTTCAAGGATGCTGGCGGAGTTCACCACATTTATCTCACTCAACATCGCACGGACTGGTCAAACATTCCCATGATCCTGAAAGACCAACTATGTCGACCAGCAAGCTGGGGAAGGGACGAACGCGGAATCCCAAAACAGTTTCCTAGCTATGGCTTCTTTGGCTATGCGGCTGAAATGAATGGCCACGATCTGGAAGCTTACGCGGTCACGCTCACCTCGGCAAACTTGAACAAGATCGGCAAAGGACTGGGCCCCTCGGGCATCTTAGGGGTCATTCAAGGCCCACAAATTTGCAAAATGGAAGCTGGCGGAAACGACGCCTTACAGAGGGCTTGCAAGTACCACGGAATCTCACGAGGAAAGGATGGTGCCTGTGCCACGAACTCTGCCCACAGTACGGTCTCCTATGTCATGGCGAACCACAGCTTCCCCACTTCGGATGTAACCTGGGCCTCCAAATCTACAGCGGACCAAAAGTGGCTTGAACGCAATGTCTCCCAGGACCACTCCAAGTCGCGATGACCTATTTGGCTGAGATCTTCTTCGGCAACATCACATCGTTTGTTGATGATGGTTTCGTTTCTTTCTTCACCATTTTGGCGAACAATAAGTTCCCCGTGTGGAGACGATCGCTGACCATGTCTTCCAAAAAAAGTAGTTTGACCTCTTTTGCTGCAACAGTCTATGGCACAGGGCTAAGCCAAGAACCCTACCTCGGCTATGTTGTGGTTCTTTGGTCTTAACGTATTATTTTGGATTGATCTTTACCTTTGTTTATGGCCTGGGGCTAAGCCAAGAACCCCTCAGTGCACCTGTCCGTCTTGTTACATGGCGTGGGGCTAAGCCTAGAACCCCAAAAAATCACGATTTCCTCCTGCATCTCCTGAATCTTCAGATCAAAACAATCGTCAGTTCCTGATCCGATCATCCTTTTGTTGACGTATTCCTCCATGGCGTTCAACGATGCTATCTCGCAGTTCTCTCAAGACATACCAGCAAGCCAGCCTGAACGTGACAGCTCTCGCACACCTCGTCGACATTCACATGTACCAGAACCGATGATGCATCCAGGATTCAGAGGCCCTATTCATCGCGCTACATCGTTTGTACATCAACCATGGACACCACCGCTCAGACCATCACAGGGCTGCATCCCTTCACCTCCGAATCCCCCACAATTTGGAATCCCACCACCTTCGAACGTCTACGGCAACCCACACCTACGTGGTCCGATGATTCCACAATGTTTTCCTCCTCCACCTCCTCTATTTGACCAAGTATCTCCAATTCGCACTCACACCACAACACCGAAATCACCGGGCACACCTGCACGTCCTCAACATTCACTTATCAACCGTGGCTACACCCTTCGCCCCATTGAGATCCCAGCTGTTGCCGACTGGTCTCCGGACGTGGAGTATCATGACACCACAAAAGTGAATGGACTCGACCTCCCGATGACAGTTCGCACTTCGAGATTCACCGACATCAAGGACATTGGGGGCATGGATCCGCTTCAGGTTCCTCTTTGGAAGTTCCTGTACCAGGGTTTACACAACAATTGGTTGAGAAAGCTGGCCCACGGCAGAGAAATCTATGTCCTTCCTTTCGACAACATCGGCACTACCGTCTTCATTGCTGAACTCCTCAACCAACTCAAGACCAGAAACATAGACCTTGACCGCTTAGCAGCTCATCGATCTCGTCAAGCCGGTACAAACCTACAGACCAAGGAGGCAACCCAACAGATGGCCCGAGATGTTGCTCAACATATTCAATCTTGGCTCCCTACGTATTCTACAGCAGATGCATCCAGCCAGCGGAAGATTCTTGAACTTGAAGCTGAAATCGCCAAGATGAAGTCCGACCGCGCCGGCTCTACCCCCTCGGGTCCTGGCGCCTCCGGATCTACACCCGGACCACTTGAACGTGCATTCCATGGTCAGTCTCAAGCAGCCCCTGTTTTTGACCCTTCATCACTGACGTTGATGCCTACATCACCCAGCCCTTTGCTCGAAACTCATCCACTCACTGACATCACCGAGAAAGCCTACAAAAAATGGATTCAGGAACTTGATCTTCCCAAACCTCAATCTGACACAGTTGAACGCAACATTGGGAAGGCCTTGGACTGGTGGAAGAAACAACCTGCAAAGACTTCGGCTTGCATTGAACGTGTGTGCGTCGGCATGGGCATGGATGTCAAGAAGATTGGATCGAGAACCTCCCATGAACTGCTCATTCGCATCCTCACGGTGGTATTGACTTGTGCGAGTTGACTCTCTGAGCTTCTGCGAGACAAGAACACCAAGATGAAGACAATTCGTGCACTTTTGCCTGTCGCCCATTCGTGTATTTTAATACTTGCGCTGTTGACTTCTGAGACTTTGTCTCCTTCGATTGCATGTTTTCAGCTGTTTCGCATGATGCAATCGATCTTGATGGGCCAATATGTTTTGCTTGCACCTAATTCGAACTCGAAACTCCGATCACTGCTGCAAGGGACACCTTTCAGCCAGCTGTTTCGCTTCCAATCCGTTGACCACTTAATTTTGCTGTTGCCGTGCTTCTTTGCTTGCGAAGCTGTGTACTTTCGGTTTTCCCATGTTGCAAATTTCCAACCGAAATTTTACATTGGCTCCACCTCTTCTTTCGTGCTCGATAGAGAGCACTCCAGATACCGCAAGTTTCTCCAGGTTCAACAGAACAAAGTTGTCCTGGCGGAGGTGGCATTGCGATATTGGAATCGTTTTGACAACTTTTGGATGTGGTCAATCTTTCCCGTCTATACGGAAAAATCCAACTTTTGGGCCCTTGAACAGGCCTTAATTCAGCTATGGCAACCTCGATTGAACACTCCGTTTATTTATCAATTTTTCAGCTGTCGGAAAGGTCTTATTGTAAAGACTCCGTTTTCACCTTCCAGACAGTTCGGTACATTCTCTTTGTGGCGCAAACTTCGGTGGAAGACAACACCCTCTCGAGTTCGAGATGCTCTACGGCACCCACAATTTCATCATCGAGCGAAACTCTGGACCATTATTCAAGACCTTGGCTCAAACACTCTACGACGATTCGAGATGGAACGCCACATTCGCTCCAACGATTTTGGGCTACAGGGCTGCTACTTCATTCGTCGTCTTGCAAACAACCTTGGTGAACCACAAAAATCATATGCCCTCAACGCCATCGATCGAGCTATTACATTCTGGAAAGGACCTCGAGTTCATCGCCCTATTCCACTCCGAGCTCCCTGGCTATTGGCAGAACAGTGGTCGCGCAAACTTCGCAAGTTGATGACTTCCCATTCACATCAAGTTCAATACTTCAACATTACTCTTCAAGCCCCCTCCACATCCATCGTCTTCACGAAATACCCGTCGGTTATGGACAGCCTTTGCAACTTCAAGGACATTGCCTCACAATGGGCCGCTGCGGAGGCTCCACTTTGTGCTTGCGAACACCTTCGGCCATTTTCTCGACTCGAGCCCTCCGACCATACACAACACCTCTACATCAATGGTGATGACATCACACATCTACACACCAAACATCCGGCAGCTTTCGTTTCCATCGCCACGGGCTCCCTGCAGAACAAGATTTTCCCACCGAAGAAAGACATTTTCGACAGCCTCAAGGAAGCCTTTCGGGTTTGGACTCACAAAAATCGCCTACCACCTATGCCCCTACGCATTTTGGAAGAGATTTGGAACACCGCTTGGCCTTCACATTCAACAAACCTCCAACAACACATCACCCACCGCGACATCGTCGCTTTTCGGAAACTTTTCCCACATGCTGTGTTCCACAACGAAGACAAACGTGCTTCCTCCTTGCGAATCTATTGCCCACACTTGTACTACCAATGCCTTACCAAGACTTTTTCGGACCCTGCCATCTTCCGCACATTATCGGACGATCCCACTACCATTGTCATGAACACCGTTACCAAACTTCAACGTCGCTTTCGTCGCCAATATCCCTGGGCTCTTGGAAAAGGACGGGATCTTCCCAATGCCTACGTTTTGCCAAAACGGAAAAAGCAGTTCACCCAAGGACGTCCTATTGTCAGTTTCGTCTCTGCACCTTTTCGTCCGATGCTCAACTGCGTGGCCAAACTCCTGTACAACCTCATTGCACTGGCTTTTCCTCACAACCTGGCCAAAGGTGACGTTTTTTTGAACTAATCCAACTTTTGAAGAATACACCCTTCGACTCCGAGAACCCACCACTGATCTACAACCAAGATTTGGCAGGATTCTTCACCAGCATCGACACTTCTCGTTTTGTGGACAGTTGGTACCTCACGCTTCGTTACCTGTCATCAAAGATGAGCACTGGTCCAGACGAAATCTTGTCAGTCAACCCCAAGAAGGGCAACACTCCTGGAGACGTGGTGAAGGGCCGCGCATGTCGTACTTTGAACGTGACGAGGAAGATCTACATTCGGGACATCGAATCCATCATCACCATGTCCCTCCAGATGACTCAGTTCTCCATTGGCAACAAGGTTTTTGAACAAATCCGAGGCTCTCCCATGGGATCACCATTGAGTCCAGCACTCTGCTTGATGGTCGTGGCACTGTCGGAGGAAGTTTGGTACCGCACTTTCCAGACCACTTTGGCGACCCTGGATCTCTCATCTCGGCTTCTTCGCTACGTTGACAATCGTCTTTGCTTGGTCAATCGCAGCTGGCTTGATGATCCGGCATTCACCACTTTCCTGCACCCAATGTTCTATGGCGAACCCATCGTTCTGGAGACGGAACCCGACCAGGAATTTCTGGGCTTTTGCATTGAGTTCAACCCGTTCGCACTACGATATTCACCACCACGAGATCGAAGTCAAGTGATGGCCCCGTTTTCGGCTTCTCCAATTCATGTACAGCTCTCCGGTTTTGTGTCTCGATTGTTTCTCGTCGCAAAATGTGCATTTCCAGACTCCGAGTGTTCCAGAGGTTTTGTCGCATTGCACCGCCTGTACAGAAATGCTGGCTTTTCTGAAGAAGACCTTCAATCCGCCGCCAAACCCATTAAACAATATTGCCACCGGTCTTCCTTGTGGTAAAAAATGCTTGGTGCGATCACCAGCCTTATCATCGTTTTTTTTGAATTTGTACTAGCAGTTCAGCAGTATGTCCACCGCGAACTTTATTTGCTCTATAGTCGTCGCCCCGTCCTACACATTTCTTGGCCTCCACGATGTCTAGCTTTGCCACGGAACCCGAGATCAACCAGCAGCTCTTTCGAAATTTTCTTCATGACGTACATCATGCCTATCTCCTTTTACATCGAGCTATGCAAACCATACCACCGACGATGATTCCCAACTTAGAACCTATGCCTCATCCGCCCTTTGCACACCTCAATCAACCTCCCGGACTTCAACCTCTGGACTTGGATATCGATCCTGAAGATCCTCCTGGCTCTCCTGGAAAACCAGAATCTTTAACCAGCGAACAGATGCTCGCTATCATGCAGGCCTCGGACACAGATGAGGAACCATCTCTGGGAGATTCCGGCGAAGCTCACCCTCATCACCCACGGGTTCCACGCCCTCGTCGTCATGTACAAGCCACAGACCCTTCAGACGTTCCACAACCTATGACGAACCAATCGTCACCTCCGGCGGGTTCAGCCCCAAAACGGGCCACAAAACGACCTGCAGCCCGTCGACGCCGTTCACGATCTCGAACACCTATGCAATCGACCCATCCTTGGACTACCGGGGAAAAGACGAAACTTCGTCAATTGAAAACGGACAAAGCAGCCAAGTACTCCTGGAAAATCATTGGTCAACGCATGAACCGCACTCCAGAAGAAGTCAAGGAGCAGTGGAACCTCATGATGCAGAATGCCGATGATTGATTCGTCTCCATGTATCTTATTTTTGTGAACAGCCTCGACCAGCCGACTCTTCCGGAGAAATGAATTTGATCTCGCCGCCACCAATTGATTAGCCGTCGTGAATGCACCTTTCTACATGGCCTGTTGACGTTACACCACTATACTTGTTTTAACCTCAGCCATTTATGCTTACCATGTCCCTTCGAGTACACCTTGACCGATATTGTGAATCCCGCGCCGTGATGAACAACCTACCTCGTCGGGACCGCTCTCGCTCACCTCAGTCCGGTGTCCCACAATCACCTTTTTTCGCACCACCTGGTTGGATTCCTCCTCGCCCTCGTGACCAACGTCCCATCATCGTCCGAATTGATCTTCAACCCCTTCGACGATTGGTAGATGTGGACGAGTACTATTCGATTTTGAATCCCAATGTGGCCGCCAACCTTGTCCCACCTGATCGCACAGCTCTTTTTAGCACTTTCAAGGTGATCTGACCGAACTACGCTTCTCGCTTCTACATGTGGCACCTCTACGATTTGGTCATCTCCACTTTTGAATCCCGTTGGACCTTACGCCTGGACATTGACACTTTTCGGCTTTTTGTTCAACACCCAGAGCACAAACGCATGCTGAACAACATGAATGCCACGATCCTGAGCGTCCTCACCAACCTGAACCCACAGTGGCAGGACTACCAACACATGGAAACGGCGTTGATGGCCCATCCAAACACTGGCACTGATCGTGACTCCGTGGCTGTGGTTTTGCACCTCGCGGCTGAACTTATATGAGGATCTTGTCATATGCGGGGGAAAAAACACGAGACCGTTGTTATCATCTGTTAGCTTGTTTCCTGATATGGCTCAGGGCTAAGCCGAGAACCCTAACCCTTATTATTGACCGTTTCGTCCGTGGTTTATTCAAAATATTCGTGAGATGGCAAAGGGCTAAGCCGAGCACCCTACACTTTGGTTTTTAGCTGAACTGTGATGGCTCAGGGCTAAGCCTAGAACCCTACCTGCAATCTATCACGTTATGGCATGGGGCTAAGCCGAATACCCCACTCTTTGATGTTGATAATACCGAACAACTTATTTTTCGCAGCTTCGACTTCCTCAATATTTCGACTTTCTACCTGACGTAGTGA